TTGCTCACAGGACCCTGGTCCTGGTAGAGCTCAAACCAGGAGAAGGTCCGGTAAGGATCAAACAATACCCCATGTCTCAGGAGGTCTGGAAGGGGATCCAGCCACACATCCGGAGACTACAAAGTCTAGGGGTACTAGTTCCTTGCCAATCTGCTTGGAACACCCCCCTACTGCCGGTCAAAAAGCCTCACACAAATGACTATCAACCGGTACAAGATCTCTGGGAAGTAAAGAAGAGGGCCACGGACATAAACCCAACTGATCCCAACCCATATACTCTCTTGAGCTCCTTGGTGCCCTCCAGGGTCTGGTATACTGTGCTAGATTTAAAGGACGCCTTCTTCAGTCTGCTGCTGGCACCCTAAAGCCAACCCTTGTTCGCCTTCGAGTGGCATGATCTAGAGGAGGGCTACAGCGGGCAACTCACCTGGACGCGGCTGCCTTAGGGGTTCAAAAATTCACCCACCATCTTCTACAAGGCACTACACGAGGACCTGGGTGAGTACAGAAAGGAGCACCCTGGCCTCACCCTCCTACAGTACGTAGATGACTTCCTGATTGCTGCCGACACAGCCAAGGACTGCGAGCGAGGGACCCAGGACCTGCTGGCTACACTGGGGGCCTTAGGGTACTGGGCATCCGCGAAAAAGGCTCAGATATGCAGGGAGAGGGTAAGTTACCTGGGATACACCCTGGAGGGTGGACAGCGGCGGTTATCAGATGCCAGAAAAGAAACTGTCCTGAAGATCCCTATTCCCACCTCCCAAAGGGAAGTAAGGGAATTCCTAGGATCGGCCGGCTACTGCTGCCTCTGGATTCCGGGTTTTGCTGAGATCACCAGGCCCCTATATGAAGCTACCAAAGAGGGGAAAACATTTAAATGGACTGAAAAAGAAGAAATTGCCTTTAATCAGTTAAAAAAGGCCCTCCTAGGTGCCCCAGCCCTGGGCCTACCAGACATTATGAAGCCCTTCCACCTCTTTGTAGATGAACACAAGGGAATAGCAAAAGGTGTTCTAACTCGAGCCTTAGGCCCCTGGAACCGCCCGGTGGCTTACCTGTCCAAGAAGCTAGACCCAGTGGCTGCCGGCTGGCTGCCATGCCTAAGAATTATTGTGGCGACAGCACTCCTAGTCAAGGACACAAACTGACCCTAGGACGGGAGATCTGGATCACGACCCCACACGCCATTGAAGGGGTCCTGGAACAGCCTCCTGATAGATGAATGAGCAACACACCATTACAGAGCCTCCTACTCAACCCTCCACGGGTGCGGTTCCACCCTAGTGCAGCCCTCAATCCTGCAACACTGCTGCCCGACCCTGACCTAAGTGCTCCACTACATGACTGTGCGGGGATCCTGGAACAAGCACATGGATTCCGGACGGACCTGACCGACCGACCCCTCCCCGATGCTGAGGCTACTTGGTTCACTGATGGCAGCAGACGGACACAGGTATGCGGGTGCAGCGGTGGTCACTGAAACAGACACTGTATGGGTGGAGGCTCTACCCTCCAGAACGTCAGCCCAGCGAGCAGAGCTCATCGCCCTCACCAAGGCGCTGAAGCTGGGAGCTGGAAAACGGCTTAACATCTACACAGCCATTATGCGTTTGCCACGGCTCCTATTCATGGGGCAATTTATCAGGAGAGGGGGTTAATGATGGCAGAAGGACGGACTATAAAAAATAAGCAGGAGATACTTGACCTGCTTACAGCCTTATGGCTTCCTGCCAAGCTGGCCATTATCCGCTACCAAGGGCACCAGAAAACTGATAACGTGGTAGCTAGAGGTAATCGAAAGGCTGACCAGGCAGCCAA